TACTAGAGCTCCATCTTCCACCTAAATTCATCATGATTGTTATTTATATTAGAATTCAATTAGATGCTATGTTGTTGAAATTCCAAACACTGCCGAACTTTCAGAAATATTATTGAAAAGAACCATGTTAAATCAATGCTATGTGGATGAAATTGAACTTAATATGCTGATAAACCTTGCGCAATTGCTCCAATCACTGCTGATTAAAATGATGATAAAATGGAGAGCATATCTCAGTACTAAATATACAGTACTTAGAAAGAATGTTATTATAATAAGGCTGGTGATCAATGCTACTGGACCGGATATACTTATATTACTAAATCTTGTGATAACTCTCCAGATGCAACTGCTACAACAAATGACTGTAATTAATGCACTTCAGATTAGGTTAAATGCTAAACTAAGATTTACGAAGATTTTCATTATAGCTACAAATACTTAATACAAATAAAGTTCAATCAAAATTTACTATTGTTTTATAATAGGAGAATGCTTCTAAGCTCTAAGTTAAGCTGGATGTGACACATCTTTAACAGGTTAATAATATTAATGGATACCAGCTGTAATCACCAACATATTGTAAAATCAAGAATGGCAGTACAACAATGATTATTTTTGCAAGTGAAACAGATGTATTGGATATTTCAAAAATCGCGCAACAAAGAATTGTGTTGTAAGTGTATAATCAACATATATACTTCAGAAACTAGTTGTATGTCATAATAAAGAAATTGTTTACACGTCTAGGATGATTGCCTTCACAGGCCTTTATATTTAAGATACAACAACTAGCAGTTGCAGAGATTAATCATGTGCTTATCAACACATACTTCATAATTATCAAAATGTACATCAGATAAACAAATTGTTTACTAAAAGGAACCTACTCATCATACTAAACTTAAACCGCGTTAGCCCAATAACAATAGGATCTAATGGAAACCTTACCTCACAAACTATCAACTTAAACATTCTAAAACGACCCTCAAAAGATCAAACTTTTTTTATAAAATTTTTCCCACATGTTTTTATTCTATAAATATATTATAAGGGTTTTTTAACAATAATAAATAAAAAGGTTTTACTTGAAGTAACCATTATTAATTAATTTATTCATTAAGAAGATTTCTTTTCTATCTAATTAATTAACAGGCAAACCATTAGTTTTATATAAATCAAGTTTATTTTTTCTCAATAACTTATGAAGTAGTTCTGAAATATACTTTTTGCTACTTTTTTAAAGCAATCATAATAGAAACATCTATGAAAAATATATATTGTGATTAGGAAAAAAAACTGGTATTCAATAAAGCAAGGCTTTAATCAAATGAATCGATTTTTAATTATGTAAATTTTCAAGATTTAATGATATATTTATTCTATAGACTTAAAGATTCATGTTTTAGATTTAACATTACATGATTTCACCTCATTTACAATAATAAAAAATTTATGAATTGCTCCTATCATATACAAAATCCGATAACCATGTATAGCTCCTCATAAGTGTTAAAATTAAAGGAAACTTTGTTTTGAATGTCTTTATGAACATGAGGTGAGTGCCAACCGTTGTGATAAAGAAGTTTCAAGAAATGGTTATCGAGAAATTTAAAGAATTAAAGCTTGATAACACATGAGTTATCAAAATAGAGAATGAATTTCAAATTAGTGCTCTCAAACAGAGAATATGCTGAAGAAAATTTGGGAAAAATTATCTGAATCAATGAAATAACTTTACGATTGGATTGAACAGGAATACTTTAATATTATCAACTTAGGTACAAATCTAGCAGAATCTTCATATGCTAACTTAGAGAAATTTAGTCTATATTGTTATTGGAACAAAATTAAACGATTTAAATGGTGAGAAGAATTCATATATGATGAAATTAGAAAAGACCAAGAATAGCTGGGCCCAAGAGATTTATGCTAAGTTCAAAAAAGAATTTTAAGAGATTCACTCATTAATAATTGAGTAAGAGTTTAAATCTTAGCCTCTGATTCAATCTGATCAAAACCCTGAAAATAAGAATATTTTACAATTTTACTTGAAATATTTAACTATACAAATAAAATTCTAAGCTAATAAATGTTTGTATCAAATGGTCTATCTAATCATAAATTTTGACAATATTTTAAAGTTGTCCAAGCATTAATCAAATAATAAAAACTTACATGAATGAATGTAAAATATTGATTTTAATCAATAAATAAAGATTACTATAAAAACTACAAATTATGGTATGAATAAAACAAGAAACTTGTTAGCTCATTTAAATTCCTTTTAAGCCTTATTTGAAAAAGACATTTATAATTTTAGATATAGAGCAAGCCAGACGCTTTCGGTGCCTTTTAGATATGCATATTTTAAACTCTATTCTAATCTTCATTAAAATAATGAGGATGTCTGGAAACATCATATCTAGGTCAATATGATATTTTATTTCTATTTTGATTTATTCTTAAAGTTTCTCAATTTTCTTTTTTCAAATCTTTTTGCCAATTGTACATAAGATATATCAAACATATTATGCTATACAGCACACTATTTTATGATTCTCATAAGATAGAAGCTATGATAACCTTTTAACATGTAAAGAAACTCTTCTAAAAACCTCAATTTTAAAGAATAGAATTTCAAATTAATAAGCTCTATAGACTTGCTTTTGATGGAAAAGGCTCTTCGGCAAATGATTTGTTTTTCAATTAAATTAAAAGAAAAAACAATTTAAGTTTTGCATATATTTAACTCCTGATGATTTTAGATTCCCGAAGGTTCTTTATCTAAATAGATGTTTTATTGAATTAAAAATTTTAATAGCTAATAAAAAAATATTATTTTATAAATCGAAAATTATTCCAAAATAGATAGATGAACATCATTTACCAGTGATATAAGATTTAATAGACTTTGAATCGATATTATTTATTTTTTGTTCAAGAAATTGAATCAGTTCCTATAATATTTTTATATTTGAAAAATTTAATAAGTCTTTATCTAAAATGATTCATTCATATTTTTCAAATTATTTATTCAACTCCTGACCATATAAATTGATATTGCCATTTTTGCTCTCAGCACTTCAAACAAAGCCAGACTTTTATGAAAAATAATAATAAAACTTTTTATGCAATGACCATTAGAATTAGAATTTAGATTATTAGTATTAGTGGGGATTTTTTTACTCCATTCAATAAGCTAAAAATAAAAGAGTTATTTAATCTTAATTCATTGCAAGGATTGTTTGAAACATTAATTACATCCATTTTTAAATAATGAACTAAACTAATTTTGGATATTAATTCTGAATAAAAAATTTTACTATCAAATAAATACGACATTATATTGGATCAACAAGACTAAAATATAAATCGATTCTTAAATACTTTTTCCATTATTATGCAAAATTTGATAAAAAATTTCACCACAGGAAATATTGAGAAAATTTGCAATTTTCTTCTAAATAAACCAATATAAAACCTTTAAATTAATTGACAAAAGCTAAAGGTTAAAAAACTGGAAATTATTAAAAATAGTAACAATATTAATTATAAATCTTTTATTAAGATTGCCAATACGTAAAAAGACAGATTTATCAAATATATCTTCAAACTCATATGTTAGAAAAAGAATCTTTTTCTTTTTTTGTTTTTTAGATCAAATACCAGGCGCAAATTACAAAAATAGTTTTATTTCATTTTATAATCTATAAGTTTAGCTTAATCCCAATTAGAAATGGTAATTCTCTTAATATCTGACATTCTCAACAACTTATAAGCATAGTAGTTGTTCAGTAACTTAGAAAGGAAAAGTTATTGAGAATAATTCAGCAAATGGTTTTTTTTATTGTAGTATGAGTAATTAAATGATTAATAAGAATGGTGTGATCTAATTTGCTGTTAAAATTATTTAATTATTTTTATTATAATTGGAATTGGTTTTAGGGATACTAATAATATAACAATCTAATCTGAATCATCTATAATTATCAATTTCATTATATTTTAATTAAATTCATTTCTTCCATAAAAACTTAGATTTGTTTATTGAACAATAAGAGAAGAAAAAAAGTTGATCTAATCCTCGAATTTCTAATATTTTAAGAGTTACCTTGTTTTGAGACAACCAAAATATTTTCTTGCATATGAAAATAAATTTAATAATTCTCTTAAATTATTGGCAAAGCGACGATAATCCTGAATATATAATAGCGATGCTTATTTATTGTAAATTATTACATTAAACAATTTAAATAAAACTTAAAAATAAAACATAATGTAAAATATTTATTTCCTTGAGATAACATCAAATTAAATATTAAAAGCTATAGGGTATTTTTAAAATAGAGCTATTAAATTAAATTGATACAAATTTTTATATTCCAAAAAGAAACTTAATTTAAGCAATAAGGTTTAACCAAATGAGAAATAATATTTACCCTCATATGTATCCAAATATTTTCTGGCCTAGTGCTGCTTTTATAAAGATGCCACTTACTTTAACTCATAAAATTAATTTTCATTGTTTACTGATCTGTGTTAAGGAAAATAGGTCATAATTCTTTTTCTTTCTTAATATCTAATTTAAAAAATTAAATTTTAGTAGTTATCTGACCAAATAACAATAGAAAATTATTCATTTGGTATATAAAAATTTAATAGAATTAATATTTTCAAAATTAAAAATGATCTCTATAAATTAAAAAATGCTTTATTACTATCTATTTGTACACAAATATTTAAGGATAAATAATTGCATTATATTATATATTGTCGAATCAAAAAAAATAATTATTGCTAATTTTTGAAATTGATAATTATTTTTATAATTTATCCAACAGATTAAATGTATAGGTTTCGCTATTTCAGCCTAATTTTATCTAAAAGTAAATACCTTGGAATAGTCACTAAAATGTGTGGGTTTTAAATAAAATAAACTTTGATGAAAATGATTAAAATAAATTTAATTTAAACTTCATTCAATATCTTTATCTTCTTCTAATCCACATTAATGGTATCCTTCTTCATAATCATTGCAAAGTGCTTATAAATCTTCTCTACATTGAAACATCTCTCCAAATTCACATCCTTCTCCATAAAACCAATGAACAAAGGCTCTTTTATTATAGAGCTGATCATATTTTTTTCCAAGATTATCAAAATAATTGTACACAGAAGCGTCATTTGAAAAAAATACTCCAGTTTGTCTTAACTAAGCTAGTTCTGGAATTACTGTATAATTTTGAGATTAACATTAAAAAACATTAGGAGTTTCTTAATGCTTAGTTCTAATATTTTAAAGAGTTAGATTAGATTAACCAAGAAAAGGATTCGTATATTTTGAACGATATATAAGTGAAGCACAAAAGAGAGCTGGTTTCATTTCACATTACAATAATCTTTAATCTGGTTTAGTTACAAATGATATAAGTGATTTTTCATTTAATTCTTAATTGATGTAATCATCAATAGATGCTAGAAGTCCATACTATGGAATTATATAATGAACTCTCGGATAGGGACAAAGCCCAGAAAATAATTTATTGTTATTAATTTTACTAAATCTTCTTAAACCTGTGTAAGAACTAATAATTTATGACACAAGATTATTTAATTGAGTGTAATCAACAAAATCTAAGCCAATCTGTAAATCAATAACTTTATACATTGATTGATTATCAAACATAACAACAGAATTACAGTATTCTAATGTCGTATGAGTAGCGAAAACAGCATTATAGGAATCTACAATATTATTAGACATTCTTTATGAAGGATAGATAAAAAATGCATTTTTTTCAACTTTTAGATCATATTCAACAGATAATTATTCCATCATTATTGAAGTAAATCCTGATCCTGTTCCACCACTTAAAGCAGATGTTATAATGAATTAATCTAATCTGTCCATGCTTTCAACTTATCTTCTCACCTAATTTAATGCAATTTCACATATTTCTTTTCCAATATTGTAATATGCCTTAAAATAATTGTTTGCAGCATCCTCCTTTCCTGTAACAAAAGAATTAGATTGATAACAAATAGATTTATTTTTCTTAACTTCGTTTATCATTCGATCATCTAAATCTGCATAAAGTGATAGCGGATAATTATTATTCTCAGTTTCATTAAAAATGTAATTCTTTTCAATTGTATCACCCTATTCCTTCGTATAAAGTTTCCATAAGACATCTCCCATCATTACACCTGCTCCGCCTATATGAAGATGAAAAGCAGAACACATTATTAAATAATAATTTATCAATTACTAATACAAAAACAAAATAATTTTTTTTTATTAAGCTCTCCAATACTTTATTGTGATTTTTTCTATTATTTTAATTCTTAATTCGTTTTATATTAAAAAAAATTATAGACCTTAAAACTCAAAACAAAAAATTAAAAAAAAAGCCATAAAATTAAAAGATAAAAGATATGCTCCTAACTAACCAGAATTATTATTATGATCCATAATTGTTTGAAAAAATTTCACCTTTACGAAAAATCAGACCCAATTAGATGAGCAAATCATGTTTTTTAACTTCAAAATTATTTTATATCTTGATTTTTTTATATTAAAATATATAATTTAACCATTTTTTGGTTCTTTATTCGTCATGTAGTGATTATTCTTCCCAAATTAGTTATATTTTAAAATAACTTCTTGTTGTTTTTTTATGTTATATATTTTTTTCTTCTGGATCAATATTTATAAATAATTTGAGAAGAAGATGAGAAATAGATTAAATAGCAAGTTAAAGTATTCAAGAGTAATCATAACTATTTAAAATTAGGATTTCCGAACAAAGTTGATTGATTATATAATTTTCGATTATTTTATAGAATAATTAATTCTAAACCATTTCATAAAAAATTAAAATCGTTTATTTTAAATGTAATAATTGCTTAATATATTCATTCTTAGAGAATATCTTTTTGTTCTTTTATTTTCAATCATATCTACCTAAAAATAATCCGTTGCTACCTTTATTTTTGTTGCATAATTTGATTAAATTTTTAGTACCGAAAATCAGCGAATTAAATCATCAGCTACTGTTGATATCAATGTCCATTTTATTAGCATGCAGAATGGATAGTATAATCGTATTTCATTTATTTCTGAGCTTTTCCTGTTGGATTACCTTTGAAAAAGCCCCTTAAATTCATCTGCTGTTCAAATTTTAAGATTTTTATTTCTTAGAAACGAAGAGACAAATAAGAGCAATCATTGTTCTAGTTCTGCTTTTTCCTTGACCATCGTGATTAAGAAAAAAATTTGCTATTTTATGCCAGGCACTACCTAATGCTATTGCTTAATCCTATAACAGTAAGGTATTCCATTTTTATATCCTAATCACCAATAACTACTTCTAAACCATAAACCTAAGAAACCTCCATTCATATATTCTCCTTTTTAAGTGATGAAGCTTTAACTACTCATCTGTTTTTAAAATTACCCAAGGAAGCAATTTAAAAATTCAATCCATATCAAATTTTTTATCCAGTTCTTTCAAAATAACCTCCACCTCTAAATATACCTATCATATAATACATTATTTTATCTTTATTTATAGTTACCCATTTTCCAATTCTCCAGCCATTTAAATATGTTCCTCTATAAAAAACTTGGGATGTCCTATAAATATCCTGATATTTACCTGCAAAAGGATTCATGTAACTCAATCTAATAACCTTATTTCTTTCTAAATTCATTATATTTACCACCGCCTCTAATAAAATGATTGCTTAAATGTCGTACATTAATTAGCCTTTATAAATAATTGACCTTTAACCTTATTTATTTTAATTTTTATATTCTCCCTTCTCAAACACCTAAGCTTCCCTATTAAAGTATACTTAACAATAATACTGCCAAAAATTACTGAAAATTTCTACCCATAATCTTGTTTTTTTTCCTTCTTTATTGTATATTCCTCCTACATTTTCTAATTTTCTGCCTCTCCAAAAGGCTGACCATCTTCCTATTTTTTAATTCCTTGTTTCATATTTACCAATCCATTTTAAACATTTTATTAAATCTAAATGATAGATTTAATGGCTGTTAGAATTAGTATCATTATATTCAACAGTCAATTATTCCAAAGCTTCTATTATTATACTACCTCTCCATCTATTACATAAATTTATTCTAAATTATTTTATTAAGAAATTAAGATAGGAATGTTGTGCAACTCTTCTCTCGTTAATATCTTTATTTCTCCTTATTTTATTTAAACTTATTTTAAATTGTAAGAATTTATTTTTTTTTATTTATTATTTTCTTCTTTAACCTACAAAATTAAGTCAATCTCAGCTAATTATGGAAAATTTTTTTCAATATCACTTTTTAAGTTCGAGTAAAATGAGAATAATATCTTATCTAATTAGCTTTAAGCATTATTAGTTAAAAGATATACTAATTCTATAATTGATTGAATTCCAATAAATAGTCTCCTTAAATGATGGAGGTCTAAAAATTCAAAATATCTGAGGATTGAAATGGACTATTGCTAGATGTTATTTAATTTAAGAGAGTTTTATTTAACTGTTCTACTTTGCTAAGTGAACTATTTGTGTATTCTCTAATTGTTTCAATATAGCCTAAAAATTATTCAGATTTTTAAAGAAATCCCTAAAAATTAGAGCTAAATGTTGTTAATGATGAAATATTATTCTCAATAAACTTGTTTGATTTCTGAATTAGAAGATTTTGAAATTCTTCTGTTGTTGGCAATAATTCACTTTGTATTTAATCAACTATATTTATGCTATATTGTTTATTATTAAAACCAATTAGAAGGTAATGATGAAGATGAGAGGCCCAAAATTTTAAAGTGGTGTCGTTAGATCCTCTTATAATTAAGTCTTCTTATAGAGGATGCAAAATAATAAAATTTACCCAACTCTTATGATTTTTTAATTTAAAAATAAATTTTGGATTATTCATAATATGTAATGTCAAAATATAGAAGAAGGAATCTTAAGAACTAATGATGAATGCCCTATTTTTCATTATTATTATCGTTGTAATCCAGTGAGAATTACCTCAAAAACTTTATACTTATTTTGTTGATCCACATTTAAGCTGCATTAATTTAATTTTTGATTATGCAGATATTGCTAAAATAGAGTTGTTTTTATTGAAAGCAGTAGCTGCACCTTTTTCATTTTATTTACTTTATTTATGGAATATGTTAGTAAGCATAATATTTAGGTTATTGTGTGTTATTTATTATTTTTTTAGTTTTTTCATATATTAATAAATATTATAAATAAAATTAATAAAACATATAATCAGGATTATCATTTGTTCCAACTGATTTAAATTCATTTAATATTAAATAAATTTTGATTTTAAATAATGTGTAACTTACATTTTCAAGAGAGATGCTTAATATTGATTCTCTACATTTTATTTATGTCATAAATCTCCAATATTTTTCAAAAATTTCATTTATTTCATTCATTATTTATCAATTAAAACAAACACTTTTATCATTGGGCTATTTGATTTATTTTTATTATCATTTTATTTAGTAATTTATATTTAATGAATACTCAGAATAATGTTTGTGATGATGCAGATTATTAATAAATTATGGATCTTGAACATAAATAATCAAAGGAAGTTGAATTGATAATAAATAAATTGAATATTCTTATTGAACAAATCAATCATAAATTTTCACAGATCAAATAAGATTTCGAATAAAAATTTAAAGTAAGACAAGAGTATTTAAAATAAATGGATAAGAAACAAATTTACTAATATAGTTAATCAATAATGAATTTTTAAGAATAACAGTAGAAAATACTTAAATAAATGGAATATGGATTTAATAATTTGGTAGAAACTTTAAATGTGAGCAAAAAAGATTTTTCATAATATGATATTACAAATATGGTATGTTTTCCAAAGAAATCATTAAAGCCATTTAAATATGAACTTATTAATTCTGTATTAGAATTATAAGGGGCATTTGCTTTTTCATTTAGTTAATAATCTTAATTTCTGGTTGGTGGGTATAACTCAGGTATAATTAAAATTTTTGAATTTGATAAAGGATAAATCAAGCTTATATAAGAAATATAAGAAACAAAAACTCCAATATGTTGTGTAAGTTTTATGAATTAATCTACACAATTCATATCGCGAGGAGATCCTTATACAATCATATTATGGTAATAAGATAGTAAGAATGGATGGATATGTAAGTAGAAATTACAGGGACATAGTAGTTTTATCAATTGCTTAAGAATAAATTAAGAAGATGATTTAATCATCTCAGGAAGCAATGATAAATCAATTAAATTGTGGAGGATTAAAAATGAATAGTGGCAATGTTCTCAAACGATTAATTGTAACTAAAATAAGATAATAAGCCTAAGCATTAATGATTCATCTAATTAAATTATTTCTTGCGGTTCTGAAAATCAAATTATAATAATCTAATAATAATGTGATTTAGAATGGAAAATCATATAAATTATATAACTTAATAATTCAGGATTTAGATTGAGCTACATAAATGATGATATATTTGTATTTTAAGGTAATTCTAAAGAAAAAATGAATGTTTATGAAAGAGACTTATAAAATAAGTAATTTAAATTAACAAAGGAGGTTAATGTAAAAAACAGCAATAATTGTTAATATTATTTTCCATAATAATTCATAAAATAGAAATCAATTTTGGTGAATAAAAATGGAAGATTTATTAATTTACTAAGAGTTAATAGTAATGGTGATTTTATTAATGAATAGGTTTTAGAATTTGACCATGAATTTATATTTGGATCAATGACTGAGGATGGAGAGTATTTAATAATTTATGATGATTAACAAAAGAAAGTTTAAATTAGAAAATATTAGGATTGATAATATTTTAAAACATTTAAGAAAAAATAAAATTCTATAATTGATAATTAATAAAAATTTCTTTTTTTTAGAATATTTTTTGTATACCTCGAGTACTCAACTTGATTCTATTTCTTAATCTTTAAAAAAATAATATAATTTTTGAATAATCTTGCCAAATTAATTCAATCTTTTAAGTAAGTAATTTACTTTATGAAATCTAATATTCTTGTAAAATATACAAAATATCATTGTTTTTTCATTCAAAGATATTGACTGATTTTTCAAAAATAATTACATTCTCAATATTACTCTAGCAATTATTATGACATTATGGCTTAAAAAAGGGGAAATTTTTTATATTTGAATTGAAGGAAGGCGCTTTTAAAGAGAATCAACAAAAGATGATTCAATTGAATTAAACCTACATGAATGATTAGTACTTCTTCCCCATATTTTATAATCAAAAAAGGAATTTGATAAATTTAAGACATAAAAGCTATATTTATATCATTCGAGAATTGAACAATGATGAATTCAAAATTGTTGAGTAATTTAAATATTATACCAAAAGTATTATGGGACAATCACAAATAATGAATTATATTTAGTTTTTTGGAAAGACAAAGAATATAAAGAAGGAACAAATTAAGAATTACTAGGCAAATGAAAAAGAAATAAATACTCTTTAATAATTTAACTTTTGGTATTGACAGGTTAATTATTCATTATTATTTGCCCAAAAGAATGATGTACAAAAAATGGATATGTAAAAATTCCACTGAATAAAAAAAATAAATTTTTTTAAAGTAAATAACCAAATACAATTCTAACAAGAGTTACTAAATTCTTAGATAATCTTTCATTTAAATTAAGATCTTCTCCTTTAAATGTCATTAATTGTGGTTGTTATTCTGAAACGTTTGGCGTGTATGTATCGGAGGCTACATTTGTAGTTTTTCAAGTCTCAAATTTGTTTCAACTTTCAAGTGATATTTATATATTAATTTGTTAGAAAATTATTAAGATAAAGTTAAATATCAATTCAAATATGAAGCAGCATAATTAATATGTATAGTGTAGAGGTTTTAAATATGATATATTAAAATGGAAGTTTATACAATTAAAATAGAGAAAAGAATATTTTAGATTAAAATCCAATTAATTTTAACTAAAAACTATCTCTTTATATATCTTGATTTTGGTAAAATAAATAACCCTTCTCAGGAATATAAAAGGTTACCATTAAAATAAAAAATCCTTGTAGCAAGCAAAAGAAAATCAATAATTTTTACATCTTTTTAAAGGAAGTCAATTTTATTAGTTTTTATTTGTTTTCTTTATATATTTTCATGGGGTAAGATCAATAATTTATCTCAAACCTACTGTATGATTTCTAAATGGTGCATCTCCACATCAATAATAATTAAGTAAAAACTTCAAGAATATACTCAAATTCCATTTTCTTTTTGACAATAGTAATCAAATGAAGAGAAAAAAATAATTCTTAATTATATTTGTTTTCAAAGTACTTTTGATAATAAATTTTAATAGAGTATTTGATTGTATTAAAATAGATTATAATACATAATTTATATTTTATTTAATAATTTATCTATGAATAATTTCAAAAATTTTTTATTGCTCCTTTTTACAAAAACAGTTTTTCTAGATTCTCGTTTTCTTATGTGAATAATTTTGATTGCTTAATACTACAACAATCAACCATTAAAATAGGACTTCTAGCAAAACTTTTACAGCAAACTGGTTTTCCATATTTTTTCTACTATCCTTTTACCTGCATCATAAATATAAATAGACCCATCATCCAATCCAACAATAAATTATTTTCCACAATTAGAAAATACAACAAAGTAATTTTTGTTGAAAATTAATTAATTTTATATTTTACTTAATTTGTTTTTTTAACAATCAAGTTTAAACTTTTTTTTCTTTCTTAATCGTCTAATTTTTTTTTGAAATAGTTCTGATTCTTATTAATTAACTTTTGTAAATTTAATATTTTAGATCCAAAAAAGTAGATTTCTGTAAATTCTTCAAACAAATATTCATAAACTAAATTATCTTTACCAATAGCTTTAATGACTTATTTTTCCTCATTAGTCTAAAATGCTTTGAGTGGTATTTGCGGTTTTAAAATTACTTTACAGTTGCCCTATAAATTCCAACATCTTAATTTTTGATCCCTTCCTAATCCATATAAAGTTCCATTTGCTGAAAAGGACAAAATGCTTGACTAATTAGCTGAAGCTGAAAAAGGCAAAAAGTTAGATTAAGTAGATGAGGCTAGTGAATTACCCTCAACAATCATAAGAGATTCACTTATTGTATGGGACATAAGAGACTACTTTTTGTTAAGGTCCCATACAATAAGTGAATCTCTATCCTAGACAGCTAATAACTATTTATCTTCATAATATGCAGGAGTATATGTTATGTAGTCTCCATTATAATTGCTTGTCTTTAAAGAAATTATGGATTAGTCTTTGTGATATAAGTAAGATTTCTCTCGAAAACCTTCGTGTACCATTGAAATGTTTCTTCTCAAAGAATGAGGAAATCATCATTATTGTGAGAAAAAAACATGAATAATATTTAAATATCTTGTAATGTATGAATCTATCGATTTAAATTTAGTAGTATATTTTTAACTATAGATTTCTAACACTGCAAATCCCATCTCATAATTTAAGATTTGGATTGAGAAATTAACTGTAATCCATCAGTAGAAATTAAAAATTATTTAATACAATTTGTATGGCCAGTCATTTCTATTTTTTATTGTTGTAGCCCTTTCATATTCCAAAGTTTTATGTAGTCCTATATTACTAAAGCTATTAAATTTTAATAAGTTAACAAATCAATACAAATTAGTTTGAAACATTGAAATAAGTTTATATGTTTTAGTGTCCCATAATTTAATTTTAGAATCGTTGTATCCACTAACAAAATTCATATCATCTACAGAAAATGCTATTTGTATACAATATAATAACTAATTTTTGATTTCTTCTAAGGATTGTATCAATTAATTTGTAGTAAAATTATAAAATAATCGTTCCTGTCACTCTTTTGCCTTAGATATGAAAATTGCTTAAGTTTACTGTTAATTTAAAGTCATATCATCAAATTTTTGGATATTTAATTGTTATTTTTTGATGATCGCTCTTGTCAAAATATCAAATTTGGTTTAATATTTATCTTCTATTATTGTAAATGTTTTGTTGTCTGGGGAAAACTACAAATAACTATGAGAAAATTAAGTGCAATCTCCAAAAAAGTAAGTATCCACAAAGTCACAAAAAAGAGAATAAAAATAAACCAAAATATCTATGCCTATTATGGAATACTCAGAATAAATTAAAACTAATTTTTCTTTTTAATATTTCCATTACCATATTTTATAATTATTGGCATCGCTAAAACAAGTAATTAAATCTATTGAGGATTCCTAATTATGATTTATTTTGAATTATTATTAAATTAAATTATTTCCAATGGTTCTCCGAAGGGCAATCAAATCTCTTTTATTTTATTGGCCTTCTCTATGTTTGACATATCATAAAGTATGAGTTTATTATATTAACCAATTATCAATAAATCTTCCAATAAATTATAAAAAATTGAAAAACATCCACATTATTATTCCAATTTTGATATTGTTTAATAATTATCTAATTATTTTATCAAAATCTGATAATTAGTGCAAATAGCAATATAATTAGAATATTTTATAAGATCAAAAGCTAAGAAATCATAATTTTCATAAAGTACTTTTTCACTACTTTCTAATGCATATTATTCCTTTATGATTTCATATAGGTAAATATTATTATATTTTTTAGTTTAACAAATCAAGTATTTATTATAATAAGAATACATCAGTTTTTTGAAGGTATCTTTTGCTGTTAGAGTTACCAAAAACTCAATTTGATTGATATTCTTCAAACTCCAAAAATTTATTTTATTATCTAATCCTGTAGCTAGTACTTAATCATCATTAGAAAAAGCTAATGAATAAGTTGTAAATGGTAGTACTGTAACCTCTGTATAATCTTAAAATTCTCTAATTTACAAAATTAAGATTTAATTTAGCATTATTATGTGAAGCATATGTGAGTTTATTGACAATGACAATTTTAATTAATTACTTTAGGAGTTGGGATTTATTTATAAGGCTTCGATTTTCCAAATATTGAAAATTGACGACTAATCTTTTGCAGCAATATATTATTTATTAGGAGATAGTATAATGCTTAAATAATTATAATTATAAAAAGGAACTATTTTCGCCAAAGCAAGATCATTGCATTATAATATTTAAATTGATTATTTAGTTAAGCATGCTAAAATATTTTATTCTTCAGAATAAGGAGCAGAAATAATTTGCTAATCATTTGGAAATTTAAACATTTTTTCTTCATCCCCTTACCAAATTTTAACTGTGCCATCTTCACTTTCTGATATTAATTTTTTTTCATCCTTTGAGAAGAATAAACTTTTAATTAATTTTTTTTGTGACCAATTAAGGTTTATTTTTCTTTACAAATGATATTTTTCCAATTAGCATATTCAATTGTTGCGGAATTGAAATTGCACGATTCAATAGATACATTCTTGAACTAAGTAGGGTTTAAATTAGAACTAAAAAAAGTAAGGTTATTTAATTTTGTTAGAATAACATTACTTGTAGATATAATGATTTAGAATGTTAATTTCATTAATTTTTAATTTTAAAAAATATAATTTTCCGTATATTTGATAGGAATATGAGTTTAAAATTGACTAAATATAATAAATTCATACATAATTTGCTTAATTAACAATATATAGTATTTGATGCTGCTCGAATTAATTTTTATTGATTTTTATTATTGGATAATTGTGTAATTTACAGTAGTTTGTTCTTAATATTAGAAATAGAATTCAACTTTGGTCTTAATAATTCTATTGAACCTGAATAGTGATCTAAAGATATATTAAATTAATTTGTATTTAATTGATTGTTGTATAAATTTCTACATAAAATCGACTCATCTTATTCTTGAGCTTTTCTTTAAAGCAAATTTAAAATATATTTAGCTACAAAAAACTCTTGAATTGATTTATGATTAAACGCATATATGCTTCATTTTAACCTTAGTAATATACACTATTTTATTAAATTACAATATTCTGATCATCAAAGTAGTAATCTTCCCATGTATTTTAATCTTACCCCTATTTAAAGCATTTTGCTAATTAAAAATTTCCTCTTTATTTGTAATTCACTTAAGTAAGTTAATTCGTAGTCATATCAAGAGCTAAATATAAAGAAAACTCTTGTAAATCATTTAAAGTGGTTTCATAATTAAAAGTTTTTCCAAACCCCTTATAATTTTAAAGTTGTTGAATGTGGTAAAATGATACAAACGTTTCATAAAAGTCATATGCAGTAAATAAATTAAGCTTAAATGCTGCAACAATAATATTTGCGTCACATAAACAATCAATTCCATCATAAATGGGGTACTCATAAAGTGATTTCTATTTACATTTTTAATTACTGTATTAAATTTTTGTTAAGCCCATAATTTAAGAAGCTCTTTTTTCAATGAGATCATTTAATCTGTTCATATATGATTAAAAAAATCTAAAGCTTAAAGTTTTATTATAATTCGATCTACATCTTGGAGATTGAATAAAAATTCTTAAGTTTATTTTTAATTAATGTGTTAATATTTTCTTCCAAAGAACTCCCTAATAGCTTGAGTTCATTGATGGATAGAATTTATCCCCTGAATTATTTAAGAAATTCATAAAATCTTTGATAGCTCTTTTAACACTGACTTCACAATATTATCTAATATATTCTGAACTTTGTTCTTAGGTAAATGGTAATAATTCTACTTCTTTTAAGGTTTAAATACTCTTACCATAAAACCATGTTTGATATCCAATCGATGTTAAAATTTCTTCTTTTGAGGTTATTTTAAATTTTACATTTTCTCCTGGAATTTGAAGATTTAGATTTTATGCCAATCTATTTGTTTAATATATCAGATTAAATGCAATCAAATTTCATTTCATCACAGCTTTCTAAAATCAAAATAACTTTCAAATTACCATTAAATGCAGCTAATTTAAATTCTCTAATTTATATCTTATCAAAGTTATAATTTTGAGATTCTAAGGCTTATTCTAATATATTATATTCTTAATGGCAATCTAAATATGAACTTAATCTAATTCTGCTTCCTATTTTATTTCAATATTTTTTTTCTTTTCTAATTTATAATAATTCAACATAATTTTTACCACTTAACCTCCTTACATCATCTTCTATTCCTTTAACAATTTAAAGTACTTAATCAATTGATGATTTAATTGACTTTAAATCTTTACTAATTTATCTTTAAAAAAAGGAGACTTATATCCATCCTTTATGACATATCTGTAAACATTATCTAAATAGTCTTCAAATTCTTCATAAGCTTATACTATTGCTTCTCTAAATCTGTAGGAGGATATTCTGAATGAAAACCATCACCTTAAATATTTTTTTCTATTTTTATATTCTAGAGCAATAAAGTATATGCTTTGTCAATAATAAACTCTTAATAATTATTATTACTCTTCTAATAAAGGAACGAAGAACCTTCAGATAGAATTTATATTGTTTTATCCTAATCAAGGCAAAGATCTTCTGATAATTATCCTAAAAAAAATTAATTGAAAATAATCTGCTTTGATTCTGCTATCTAACTTAAAAAGCTTATCAATTCAATCCTCAAATTAGAATATATTTCAAGATAATTTTAATTAAATTTATCTTTAATAAATTCTGCCATTGGTTCCTGAAATGAAATTAAAGTTAATTGGAGATAATCATTCCTTTATAATTATTTTTTAGCAATTCAAGAATCTATAGTTTGTTTTTAATTTCATTAAATATCAAGATTTGCTTGCTTTTTAAAACTTCAGACCAATTTTACTTCTAAATCAAATCAATTCCATCATCTAATGACACTAAAATATCATTTAAATCTAGTTGGTGATAATCAGTTTAATTCTTTACCTCAAATTTATCATATAATTTTTATAATATTGTCTTTTGCAAAAAAGCTTTGGTATTTTGCTAATCTGTTATTTGATCCTATTATTGTGCATTAACTTTTTAATTTTCCTTTTCCTTTGAAGTGTTTAATGAGATAATTTTTCTTTATTAGATATTTAATAACTATTTTACAAGTTTTAAAATCATAATAATTTACTTGCATACTATTCGATTCTGTCTAAGATCAATTTTAGACAATTCTATTTGGTGAATATACAATTTGTTAAAATACTCAACAAATACTCCTCCTAATTGTTAAATAAAGTTGAAATTATATATATCTATTAATGTTTAGGATTAAAATTTTTATGAAGTTCTATCCTATTAAAATATCTTAACTTTCTTTGATTCATATATTTTTAAAAATCTTTGTTTAATAGATTTTTATTGGATGATAAACTAATGAACATAATTAATAAAATTTGCTAAGACTGTTTGGAGTATTTTTAATCAAATTGACATTCTTGAATTCTAATATTCGATTCATTCGACATAAAATTTTTGGAATTGACTCTTACTTAATATAGTGACAATTTGTGGAATAATTAGACTAAAAACAATAGAATTTGTTTTAAGTTAATTACACCAAAAACTCAGAAATTTTTGAATTTTTTTGTATAATTGTTTTTGGAAATCCGTTAAAATGATTTTTTAGAGCAAATTAGTAGAAATTTAATTAATTTATTTTTCTCAGTCAATCTTTTACATTTCTAATTTTCATCAAGTAAATTCTTTATTAACTCTAAACTTTCTAATAAAGATAACGAAGAACAAAAGTTTCTTTTAATGACTAACAATTTAATCTTTGGACACGATGCTATTAAAATCCAGACATCTCTCATCACAACATGAATGTCTTGTTAGTAGGGTTTAGCTTACAATGCATATTTATAGATATATTCACTAAATTACTATCTCGTATTACCTTGTTTATGAAGGTTTTTTTTATTTGAGAATAATCAGGAAGGACACCTTATTTCAGTTAAAATAAATATGTAAAATGTATTTATTGATTTAGCAATACACTTTCTCTTATTAAAAAATTTTTGAATTCTCCTCAAGAGTAGATTTTTGAAAGCAAATTCAAACTTTAAAAAAAATATATATTTATGTTTTAATTGCTTTCGAAAATACTTATGGATCAAATAGCAGTAGAAGATATATCAAACTAGGAATAATACAAATTTTAAGAAGAGTTGCAAACCAATTAATCCTATACTCAGAATTCGCCTATGTCGGATTTTAACTATAAGGAAAATATTTAGCTAAAATAACGTCTACATTCATTAATTAATGCAGATTATTTTTTAAAGGTGATAGATAATATAAAAATAGGAACGTTGTTGCACCCAGTAAAAAAGTCTGAAATTATTGATGAATTGTTAACTATAATATTAGAAAATGACTTAACTTGATTGGGGCATAGATGAAAGATGATAAGACATGGGAACTTAATGGTAAAAATCCTGACTCTAATTCAAAAGATATAGCCCTGAAAAATAAGCCACGAGAAACCTTACTCCAGATAAAATATAGTAATGCAGGAATCAAGAACAAAAATAGATCTTGTCAGCAAAAATTATAAAAATTTTCAACATAAGAGTTATTGTAGCCTACTTGTTCTATTGGCGTATTTCACTTCTGCTTTTCTTCTTAATCAATAATAATACCTAAAATATCTTAATTTTTCTATTACACTTAGAATTTTCAAAGTTTAATTTACCAATATAACAGTTTTTTGATTAATAAGAAAATCTCAGTTCATCTTAAAATACCATATACCATATAATAAATTTTTTAATAAACTACCATATTTTAAACTGTGTTTCTATCTTATTTAATCGCTTTATTTTTTTGATACCTAATCAAATTAAAGTATCATCTAGAACTACCGAAAATCCAACACTTATCGGGGAAAATATATTTCTAATAACCTACAGTATAAAAACTTAATGTTAATATAAAAAAGAGTCAGATTTACTCAAGCTTTGTAACTCATAATATTTTTCAATATTCTCAAAGATAATAATCATTAAGTCTTCAATTATCATAACTAAATTTTTTCTCTAGTTTCAAAGGTGTACAATTAGATCTAAAAATCTAAGATTAATTGTTATTGAATAAAGTCTAATATTTTTAATAGCAAATAATCGTCAAATAGTATAAATTACAAAGAGTTACTTATTTAATTTCCAATAAGTATTAATTATATTTCAAAAACTCAAACAAACCTTTAGCAATAATAAAATTAAAGGTTTTCAAACATAATAGCAAATCCAATAGTTTTAGGGTATAAATAATGCACTTCTTATAATAATTAGGTTAAAGAGAATATTGAAGCTCAAAGTATGAGATCAAAAAACTCAAATTGTCCAAAATTTAATGAATGTATTAATTTTATAATGTCCAAAAAGTTATTATTATTATAAAATATATTATTAATAAAATTAAAATTTTTGATTAATGAGTGACATACCTTTTTTGTTATTAATTTTTTTAAGCGGTGGAAATTAAATTGATGAATGTTTCAAATTTATTTAGAAGATCACTTTTTTCTAGCTTTTTATTATATTATTAAAGAATAGGATGACTATGGAAGTTAATATTTATCATATTAAAATCCAATTACCAATATATTTCTAGCTCCTTAAAAAGTGCTAATGTTAAAGAAAACTCTGTATCGAAAGTTCTAATTATGATGATGAAGTGGATATCAGCTTCATTGTTCCTATTTTGAATTTTTCAGAAATTGCTATCAATAAGTTAACTGAAATTAGACTCAACCATTCTTCTGAATTAGCCAACTAATATGGTTTTGAAATCCATGCTCTCCAAAACTAAAAAAGTTGAAGAAAATTTGGGAAGAATCGAAATCAATCAAATTTATATACGATCAGATTGAAAAGAAAAACTAATCATATATCAATCTAGCCAACATGCATTAAGTATTTAGTAAAAACATTTTATCCTAATATTGAACAATTGGTTTCGAGTTTAGATGGAAGTACTTTAAAAAATTGGAATATAAGAAAATATATATTGAAAAAAAAATTTTGGCTTTAGTCTAAAAATACAACAATTTAATAAAGTAGATTGAGTCAATAATGAAGTAACATAGTCAAATTTCTACTAGGACTCATTAGTAAAACATTAAAATCCACGAACATAATAAATTAGATGGTCATAGTGGAACTTTCTGGTCATATGTTTCTTACAAGATGGAACTACTTTCACATCTGTTATATCCAGTCTTAACATCCCATTATCTCATTGAGTTATCTCAACAATCAGATGTTAAAGTAGTTCCATCTTGTAAGAAGTATACTGATTGAACATAATCACTATGACCATCTAATTTTGCTTTTTATTGTAGTCTTATTATCCCATAATATGATTGAATTAAAGTAAATACAAGATACTAAAGTATTTCCATCTAGTGAAAAGCATACTGATTCGAATTCCTAGCATAATCATCCATTTTGGCTTTTAATACCCATTCTTAATATTTAAGAAATTCTAACTTGTAATGTAATAAGCATTCTGATTTGGCACATTTATCATGACCCATCCAATGTATTCAACTCATGAAATTTGATGTTCTTCCTCTTGGAATTAAATAGTAGACCTCCATTAAGATTCGTTCCGCTAATATCTATATTCTCAAATTTAAATTCATTAAAGTTACACCTTTTAACATTTACGCCTATCTAACTAGTATTCTTTTTACTGATGCTTAAAGGCTTTGGTTGCTAAAAATCTTCTTCACCTTCATTAATAAAGTTAGTCCATTTAATCCACATTAAATGAATTTTTCATCAATGACTGTGAGTTGAACAGAAAATTCAAGAAAATCAACTATTTTCTTATCTCATGCTATCTTTTTAATGAGATTTAGTTTTTTCTTTTCGTAAGTTTCGATACTATATTCATTTTTAGAAAATGGTGATCCATATTTCTAAAACATTTTCGATCTTTATAATTTTCTTATTAACTATTTGTTAATTATTTATTGACAAATGATTAGTATCCTATCTTGTTTTCCTTTTCAAACATTTCATAATTTTTTTATTGCTTTGATTAAGATAACCCAGTTTCCTTCATCAAACTTTCAATTTCAGATAGCACATATTTAAATGCCATTCTCTGTTTAGTTAACTCAGATGTTTGAGTTGAACTGAAAGTCTTGTAATTTCGCGAGAGATATTTTTAAATCACTTGATAGATATTATATATTTAACATCCAGTCCAGGATCATTAAGGCATATATTGCAAAGTTTCCTTTTACATTAACAATTGTGTGGAGCTATACATAGAAAAACAATGAAATTTTGAATGTGTTAAGTGCAATTCGTTTTATTTTTTTTTAATTATTGAATTTCTATTACTTTTATATTAACTGTTATATTAAATCAAAAATATCTTATGGATTAAAGTGAGGATATAGCCAAAATTGGTGAAAATTGGGTTTAGTTTTTTATTGAGATAACTACATCAAATGGTAAATCAAAAAACCTCTTTTATAGCAATAACGATTTTATTCCAGATCACAATTCATATTCACCTTAATTATTTCAATAATAAGTTCTTTATATTTTAAGAGTATATGCGAAGATTCAATTAAATAAGCTACGGAATAGTGTGATGATGGTATGAATTAGAATTAATTATAAAATAGATAATTATGATGGTTGCTCAATTTTTTAGTGGATTTAATATGAAAAATGTGACAATGATTCTTAAATAATCAAACATCATTTTTCAGTCTGTTACTAAGGAAATTTTTGAAATGAAATGATGGTTATTTATTAGATGGAGATATTTGTACTTCAGTATATGGTGATGATTTAATTAACATATAAGAAGAAGAATATGATATTGATGTATGGGGAAAGTTGCCTCATTCAATTTGCAAAACTTGCAATAAGAGCGTGATCGATGTTCAAGTTTAGATACGATTTGATATCTTATCATGTATTGAGGATTATTATGCAATTGAAGATAAATGCTTCAAATGTGATTCAAATTGTATTAATTTTAATTTAAAATCAAATTTATGTACATCATGTATAAGAGAAAATTGTGATTTTTGCAAATCTACTCCTGGTCTTTATGCTGATTTAAAAATTAAAAAACGCGATTCTATTTGTGTTGATGGAATATAAACTGAATTATATGAATAATGTGATGATCGTAGCTAATAGTGTGATTCATAATGTAATTTAGAATATTCTAGATGATGAACTTAATCAATTTAAACATTATCAATTTTAAGGAAACAATACTTGATTTAAAAATACAATCTTAATCTAAACTGAAGCTTATCTCAACATTTTGATATAAATATAGATAATTTAGATTTTCAATAATACGATTACAATTTTACCTAAATTAATCAATTAGCTTGAAGATTTTCATTTGACTTCAAAAAATTTATTTCTAAGTTGAAAATACTTCACATATTAATTCTTATCACATTTCTAGATTACTTCAAGAAAATAATAAATAGATTGAATGAATTTTATATATTCTAGCGAGCCTGTTGTTTCAGAAGAGAATGAAATTATTTAGAAGTGATTTGTTCTAATAGCCAAATAATATTTTGGTTTAATCCTTCTTATTATGATAACAGTATCAATTATTCTTTACTTCTTTAATTCTTTACCGGTAGTTCTAAAAATATTAAGTTGGATTTATAATTTCTATTTTCTGACTGTAAATTATACTTTTAAAGTGGATGCATTCTTTTTAAATAACAATTGGTCCAATCCATTATGCCAATTAATTCCAGTTCAAATTCAAGTCGTTGTATTTAAATCAATTTCTAATACAGACTTAGAAGAAATATTTCTTTTCGATCTATTTCATTTAAATACACTAAATAAATTAAATAAACTTATTTGATAAATTGTATATTTATAATTTTATGTTTATCACCACTTCAAAATCTCAAAGATTTTCGCAGTTTTCGTAATGTATTTCTTCTCTCTTAGTTTTCTATATATTCTTAATTTTTGATAAATTTTTGCGCTGAGTTTGATTATAGGTGCAAATAAACTTAAGATTAATAAACATATCTGAAAGAAACCTAATAAGATTGATTTTGATGGCGTAATAAACATCTCAAAATCATCACAAAATGACAAGTTAATTAATGTAAATAAGATTACAGGGATTTCAATCCATGTTTTCAATATTAAATCAAAATCTAATTTGTAATTAGTAAGAAGAAAACAAACATAAATGGATAAGATAAATGACAGTAAGATACATTACACAATAGGTTAGGTCTAAATAGCAATTAAAATAAAAAGAAACATAGTCTTTTTAAATAAAATAAGTGTTTCAAGCTATGAATTTTTTAGTTAGTAAATTTTTATTTTTTTAAATTATCCTCTAAAGGTATTAATCATAATTACGACAGTTATAAGTAAAAATATAAAACTGATAAATATAGATAAATTGTTGCGTAAATTATATTATTGAGAGGAGTACAAAAATAAAAATACTTTAAAGAGCAAATCCCAACTATTTGCTTGGAAAAATTAGATTATACCTTAGATTGTCATGATCTTTTGAAATTTTTATATTTATAAAATTTAATAATAGATCCCTAGATAAATTTTTTATAAAAGTTTTGATTTGGATATCTTCATATAATATAAAAGTCTAAATGTGAAACAATATTTATAAAGTAATTTAATAAAGTAATGTGCAAAAATAAGAGTAAATAAAGCTAGTATAATTTAAGCAAATTAGCAATATAAATTGGTGAATAGGTCTGCATTAACTTGATATTATTAAAATTTTCCAATACTTTAAACATAAATTTGTGGAATAAATTATCCTAAGATATTTCCAAAGTTTGATTAAATTAAGAGTGGTGTAATTTATACAAAGTCTGATGATTCAAAGTAAATATAAAGATTTTATGGATAATTAACATTTATATATTTTAAAAACGATTAGAATTATAAAATGTCCAAGATTTCTTGAAATATTTCAAACTCCCTGCATAAGATCATTAAAACACTTAAAATCATTAGGCTCATCATAATTCCATAATTAAGAGTTTAAAAATTATTAGCAGTTTCTATTTAAGTCTTGGATAAGATTTTAGGAACTTAAAGTGAAATAAATTATTGACTCGGATAGACAGGTAAATTATTTTAATCCCATAACAATGCATTAAATATGAATTTTAACCTTGGGTTGAATTCGATAGGTTAATAAATATTGATTGATAGCTCATAACTAATATTCTTAAATTAATTCTAATCAATTTCAATTAATGGAATGAGAATAATTTGATATTAATTTGGGTTTAATTTTTCAATAGAGAATGAATTTTAATCTAAGAATATAAATGTGGATAAATCTAATTTAACTAAATTTGTATAAGTTAAGGTAACATACTAATAATTAAAGGTTTAATTTAGATAAGTATAAATGGAGTTGTGATTTTAAAGCATTAACTAAAAAAGTTATCATTTTCAGTACAATTCCATAGATTTTCAATGATACATAAATTAGAACATCCATCTTAATTTAAATTATTTCCATCATCACATTGTTCATCATCTTACCTAATTCCATTACCACACATTAAGCAAATACCATTTTCTAAGATATAACCTGAGTCACATTAGATACATAGATTTAATGAACATTTTAGACATCCTTAATATAAACATGTATCTATTGACACTTCTTCAGAATCATCATTTGGTATAATACATTATCCATCGATATATTATTTATCTTCTGAACAAGGTTATAAACAAATACCTTATTAACAAAGATAACAAACTTATTAACATTGAAATTAACAATTATAACAACCATCATAAGGAAGATCATTTCCATCATCACAATCTTCATATTCATAAATTACTATTCGATCACCACAAATAGGTTAACATTAATAATTAATAACTTCAAAATTGGTTTAGCATTTATTACAAATAGATTTATTATAACATGAAAGACATCCTGATGAACATTCATATTGACAATCAAAACATCCATCATTTTAAATATTATTACCGTCATCACAATTTTCATTAGAAATAAGTGCTATCATTGAATCTCCACAAATCTATTCACATTTATTATCAATTAGATGCCATCCATCAATACAAATAACACAGGTACCTAATTGACAAAATTCACATTCAATTTAACAAGTTAATTAACATCTATAACATCCATCAAATTAAATATTATTACCATCATCACATTATTCATTCTCGATTATTTACCAATTATCATTACATATACTTACACATTAATTTTAAATGCTATGCCATTCATAACCACCTTAACACTATAAGCATACACCAAATTAACAATTAAAACAATCTTAAGGACATGAAAATTTACATAAATAACAACCATCAAATGGTTTTAAATTATCATCCTCACATTCTTCATCATATACAATCTTTTAGTCTCCACATATAGGATTGCATTCTTTTTAAATTATATTATATTCCCATCCATTCTAACATTCTATACATTCTCCCTTAACACAATAACTACACCCTTTTACAAATCCTTAAGTTTAAGAAAAACATCCTTCATAAATAGTCTCAATATAATCAATAAATAGCTGAAAATTAGACATTCCCCAACCACCCCAATCTGATTTCATTTAAATTACTGCTAAAGTATTAACATGTTAAACAGTAATTGAGATTTAAATAATGTCGAAGTTATCAACTTCTATAATAAAATTCTTATCTTAAAAATAAAACCTATTATTATGTTTGATAATACCTCCAAAATAAGAATTAGATTACAATTTAAGTATGACTTCTAAGTTGAAAAGATTTAGCAATCACTGTATTATATATATAATTAGAGCATGGATCTATCCTTAAAATATTTTTAGTCCCACATGATGTTAATTGAACAATATGACTTTCTATTTGAAAGATCTCCCAATCTAAATATTATTGAATTAATACTCATCGTCATGTTTGTCAGGCTTCCAAAAAAATTTTCATAAACAAGGGTTGAAGCTTATGAAGTTTAAAAGAATAACATCAACACTGTTACGATTAATATCCAATTTGCTAATTTAAAATCATATATTATGTACTCTAAGTTTATCTGTGGTAATTCAAATTCAATGATTCTTATTTCATTAAATCTAATAATATTTCTAATTAAAATTTAATTAAAAATGAATCAACTTATATAAGGTAAAAAAGATCATGAATTTATAATCTACTTACTATTGTAAAAATTTGAATCCTAAGAATTTAGATAGTTTTATATATTTAAAAATCTTTATTTATTTGTTACTTAAACTTTAGTTATTGATTTTTAATACAAATGCTTTAATCTAATATTTTTATAGAGTTAGTGAGAAATTTTATTCAAAAAAAAAAGTTTAAATAGTTGTAACCCATGAAATTTTAATAAATCAAATCTTATCAAGGATTAAGATTAAAATATATTATTATCTGCAGTTATTACTAATGATTTATTTAATTGCCAAAATTATCTGATCTTTATGAATATTCAACTGAATATCAACTTTAATTCACAAATAATTAATATAATAATTAGTTTCTGTTTAATAAAACTTATAGTCTTATTTGTAAGTTTTATCTTTAAACAGTTCCTTACAATCAGCAATCAAATAAGATTAATTTTAAATAAACCTTCAACAAAAATAACTTCATTAGAATTCTGAAAGAAAAAATGATTTAATAATTTTTTTAGAAATATTTGATTAAAGTAATATTAAATTTTGTCTTCATCTTTTAATTCGAGTACTTATAAAATATCTTCAGAACTAAAAGATTCCTTTTCCCACATCAAACTAATTAATTTACAAAAGAAGAGAAAAAAATATATGATTTATCTGTATTACTTATTGATTTCAGCAGGGCCTCTCAATCGAGCTATATATGGACCCAATCCGAAAGATATTCTAATCACAGTAGTGTCTTCAAAGAATCTAATCAGTAATGGACTTATTTCTTAATATGAATTGGGCCAAATCTATATTGTTAATCATTTGACTTTTGAATAACTTTGGTACTCTATAAATAAATTAGTGATCCTATCTTCCTTAATTTAAATAATTTTCAAATTTTTGGACTTGATACCATGCCAGTCTTAAAGATTAAAGAAATTTGTTTTTTTCTAAAATAGATTCTGAACATACTCCATTAATTGTAGCATTCTTTTAAATACTAAAAATGGAGCAATAGCCAAAAATTTAGTAATCTATTAAAAAAAATAAGCACTTTGTATCACTCTAGCCAAATCTATTGATAGCTTCCAATGTAATCTTTAGCATTACTTATATTGATTACATAATTATTTATTAAATTGATAATTGTGAATGTTATTAAACTTATTCTAAATTTGAATATTTAATAATCTTTTATTATTATCATTTTACAATTATATATGATTAATTTATATATGAAATATCCTTATTAAAGACTTAATAAATGTTAAATGAATTGAATAAAGGGAAATAGGATGATCCAGAATTCTTAATTCTATAAATGAAACGTAAATAAAAGAACAAAAGAAGATATTAAAAAAAACATTTACGTTTTTAGAGCAAGAACAGCTCATTTTAAACTAGTAAGAGAAAATCAAATAGAATTAGTGTTCTTTTAATTATTACCATTTAGTAAATTAAATAAGGATGAGAAATAATCATTTTAATAAACAGTGGATCGTTCTTCAGCAAAATCAAAGTTAAGATTTAATGGAAAAGAGTGCAGAATTAATATAGACATGAAGAAGAGATGAATCGATTCTATAAATAATATAAGATTGTAGGATTTTTTGCAAATTATATTTAATTGTGGAAGGATCTCGCATTTTATTTAACTTTAATAATAAATATAATGATTATAGCTTCATTTGCTCATTAATCAGATCCTTCAAGACCAGAAGAAGAAGTAAATAGTGAAGCATTAGGTGAATATAACTTAAGATTTAATAAGTGCATTAGGATATGCTATGATGATTTTTTCATTATTAGTTGTATTATTTGTTTTAGCAATATCTATCCTATAACTTAAAGCTTCGATTAAAGGTTTTGTTTCTGATTTAATTGTACAAGATTATTATTTAATTTATTATCTCTTTTTCATTCCAATATATGTGTCTTGAATAATTAAAGTGTTATTAATTTTGGTTTGTAATAATTTTCATTCTTAAATTGAGTTCAAAATTTAATCTAATTTTATCTAAGACATTAAAATCCTTATGAGTTCTCTTAGATATAATTATTATAAAATAATTATATCATTTAATAAAAAATTTTATAAATTATTTAAAATGATGATAATTTAAATTCTGCTTTTCACTTTTATAAATTGCCTTATGCTTCATTAATTTGTCCAAAAATTTAAGATGAGTTGTTTGGGAATAAGGATATACATTGTTGTTTCAGAAGAATAAAAACTTATTGCTTATACAATTTATAAGTTAAGAAGTATGTTGTAAATTAGATTACCATTTTAAGAGGAATAGCCTTAGAATTGGAATTAGTAGTAATTGTGAAATTTGAAAATATTCCAAAAAGATATCCTTAGGATTGATATGCCAATTTAAAGATATAGAATTCTTATAATCCTTATCTGAGCTAACATCATTTAAAATAGAAATATAATATTTAATGTTTTATATCAATTGAAAAGGTATAATTATATATAAAATTAATATCAATGTATAGAATAACTATTCAACTAAAAGAGAGCTTGGGTTTGTTGATGTTCATTACTAAGAGTTGAGAAGAAAACCAATAATTATATTATTATGATTTTGATCATCTAAAAATGACTAAGATTCTAGAGCATTGAGGGTGTATTAAATTATAATTATAAGAATCTATTGAAGTATCTTGGAAATATATATTTATATTAGATTTGAAATAGTGGATTTTCAAAAATTTATTATTTGACTAATAATAAAATGTATTTTACATATCAATATAAGTCTGGTTTCATTGAAGAATACAGAGCAAAAACAAGCTATTTTTCACCAGCATCTGTCTTTGTTCTGGTAATTGAAAGGCTATTCAATTGAACTTTTAATATTATTAATTTAAAAAAAAAATCATTAAAGTGAAGAACTTATGATAGGAAATCTATTTATTAAATACTATTTTAAGTAATAATATTCCAATTCGATATCAAAATCAAAGACATTCATCAATTTTTGATGAGAATTTAGTGATAAAGAATAAAAGTAAATTTGACGATTTGGTAGTGATACAAAAAAAAAAATTGATTGATTGATAGATAGATAGATTGTAAAGTTTCTTTTGTAAATTGGTGAACTATTCATCAATTTATATTTCTTGGTGAAACTTTAAAGTTTGTTTTTAATTAATGTAGGGACTTACTTAACGCAAATTTACTTAACTCCCTTAAATAATTTAAGAATTTGATCAAATCAAACCATAAATGATTGATTATTCTTTTCAATTTGAAATTAAATGAAAGAGACTTTTATATTATTTTATTCATTTTCTATTTTTCTTTTTATAAATATAGATAATTTTAATTTTATGTATTGCAAATAACATGAACCAACTACCAAATATCTGACTATAATAAGATGACTCATTAAAATTTTATTTCTAATTTGATGGTAATTTTACAAAAAGCAAATAAATATATAAAATGTTAAATCTTAAGTATATTTCTTATGAAAATTTAATGATTAAAAAATTTTTCTAAAAATGTTATTAATTAT